CTACAACTTTGATGTTTTGTTCATCATGGATTTTTTTGCATTAATTCTCCTCATAACACATTGCATTATACTATTATTTATCTTGATGACTGAGTTTTTGTGCCCCAGGCAAGTGCCCTAATTACCCCACCTGAGTCCCAGCTCTGTCCCTCCAGCTCCCTCTTACCTTTCTTACTCCCCACCCAACAGCTGACTGTGGTCTTCTAGGGCTGACTCCAGGATCAGTTTTAGCACCTCCGCTCTTCCCTTTCCTCAGGTTTTACCACCAAAATCCCATTACCTGGCTGGTGCCACGTCTTTGGATGTTGTCAGCTGGTGAAAATTTTTAGTGGAGACAGTTCTTTAATTTATAACTAGGTGGAGGAGCAGAAGCCCCTCTATTCAATTTGCTTTTAGGTACCACCCAGTAGTGTCGTGTGTGTGTGTGTGTGTGTGTGTGTGTGTGTGTGTGTGTGTGTATAGGCTAGAGATGGGTGAGCTGCAGGGCCAGACTTCCACGTGTTTACATTTAGGGTTGAAGATAGACACATTAAAAGTTATAATACATATAATCAAGGCTTTTCAGGCATTTATATATAAAATACTATGAGTACAGGGCAGTTAAATCTGTTGCTCAGAGTTTGTGGAAGGAATGAAGCAAGGGAAGGAAGGAAGGAAGGAAGGAAGGAAGGAAGGAAGGAAGGAAGGATTGGTAGACGGGGAAGCAAGCTGGCTGGTGACAGGGGTTCCACAAAAGTGAGCAAAGAAGGCACCGCAGATAGCTAACCACTGCCTAACTTGCAGTTTTTCCTGTTGCTTTCCTTATTTAGAGCTTGTCGTGTCACTCCACATAACTGGCAGGCTTTTCTCCTTTAGATCTATTCTAAGACACTAAAATGAGACTCTTCACACTTCATTTCTCTTCCGTCAGAGGAGAGGCTGATGTGACGTGCAGATGCACGTCACCTCTGCCCAATGACAAACACCAGCGGCTCTGGCCCGGCTGTACTTTTCCCCTTGATGCAGGCAGTGAAGATTATTAAATGGCATTTCATTATGATCGCTGGCTCGATGTTAGTCATGGCATAATTTAGAGGCAGCCTGAAGGGAGTTGAGATAACAATGTCACTCCAAAGTCAGGAAGCCATTGCACAAACAGCAACCCCAAGCTCCTTGCAGCTCGTGATGCGTCCTGCTTTGGCCAGCGCCACCTTGTTTCTTGCTCCTAGTTTGGTAATTTTTTAAAACCTAAAATATAATTTTTTTGAATTTCCAGGACTGTTGTCTTTGAAGGATTGATTACTTGGCTGAATATAGAGGGATCTTTTTAGTCTAGACTTTGTTTCTGACTCACTGTGATAACCTGGGCAGATCTTTTAATCTCTTGTCTTTCCTCCCATCACCACTGTTTGTTTGGAAACCTTGTCAAATCATTGCTTTCTTATTCTCAGTGTCCCTACACCTTAACAGATGATGTTATTCAACAGTCCTTGATATAGAATCAAAATGCTATTCTCCAAGCAGTTCCTAATTATCTCCTGTTCCTGCTTTATAACTTCAACTTTCCCCTTTCCTCAATCTTCTCAATTCTACTGCTCTCTACATTCAGCTTTTCTCTCTGATGCAGCTAAGCCACTGTCCATTAAGGGACATAATCTTTAATGGGATCCATTTCTAGCTAGCCTTTTGAAATGCAGTTCTGTAATTATACTTTAACTTAGTTCTCTCTTTTTCTAACTATGGCTTTTAAAGTCTGTTAATGTTCTAATTGGAAGCCATTCATTATATTTTAATAATAATATGAAAAACATCTGCTTTGCATGCACTCTTATAAAATCATCATTAGAAGGAAAACCCTAGTGATAGACATAATATGATTGGCATAATTTAATAATAGCTACCATTTAAGGCTATTCTCTATGTAGGAGATATATAATATTTAATTCGTACAATAAATTCCCAGTGAGAAAAATAATTTTACAGGTGAGAAAACTTATGATCAAAGAGGTCACTAAACCAGGGCTTTTGCTTTTTTTTTTTTACTCTGTTGAAGATACCCATTATTTTGTGAATCCAGCATCCCTTTTTCTTGAAATTGCTTCTCTTTTTTCCATCCATATGGCTGTCAGGGGAACAGTCATGTTGTGACAGGGTCCTATCCCCTGGCTTTGAAGCCTTTCCCACAAAGTTTTGTGGACTGGGGATTATGGGAATATTGGTTCAGGGTATTTTTATTTGTCAAGTTGTAACATGTGAAGCTTAGGAATCTGTTGGTGGCTTATTTACAGGCATACAGGCTGAGATGTGGGGTGAAGGCAGCCTGGAACAGAGACAGGGAGGCAGGATTTTAGCCCCTGCTTCCTGATTTCTGTCCATGTATTGGTGAAGGTATCCCTGTGTCCTGATAATATTTCCCCTTTTTGCTTAACTTCTGATTTGCTGCCAGTCACTTGCTACCCTCAAAGTCCTAATGTTTAGTACTGCTGGTCGTCTTAACCATAGCAAAAGAAGATAATGGATTTGGGTTGAAAATCACTGACATTTGAGGGTTTAATTCAAAGGCTAATGGTTCCCCAAGTGTATTTGTGTAGGTTCTTCCTTCTTGATCCCAAACTCATGTGAAAAATAAATTAAACCTATTAAAAAGGGTTGCATTAAAAAATAGCCAAATTCATTCAAAGAGCAAGTCATCTTGAAAACAATCGAAAGTTAGTTGTTGTTGCTGTTGTTGTTGAAGTTTTATTCAATCATCTTCATTTATTTCTTAACTCAATCAGGCCCGAGCTGGTTTGGCTTAGTGGATAGAGAGAGCATCGGCCTGCGGACGGAAGGGTCCTGGGTTCGATTCCAGTCAAGGGCACATGCCCGGGTTGCGGGCTCCATCCTCAGTGGGGGGCGTGCAGGAGGCAGCCGGTCCATGATTCTCTCTCGTTACCACTGATGTTTCTATCCCTCTCTCTCCCGTCCTCTCTAAAATCAATAAAAATATATATATATTTAAAAAAAAAGAACTCAATCAGATGTCCCATTTCCCAACACCTCAACATTTCAGGCAGCAAAGGGAAAAGGAAAGTTTCCTAAAGCATGGATTGTGGTATTCTCTGGTGAAGTGATTAATGAAAGATAAAGTTCACTATTACAGATAGGGAATTCTTTGAGAAGGTCTTTGCAGCAACTCTAAAATAGAAAGAGATTTGGGATTGTGTAGTTCTTGCTGCTTCTGACACCTCGGTCCATAAGCTTACACTTGGCTGTCACAATCACATCATAGGTCACGTGGGTGACTACAGAGTACCCCAGTGTTCTACCTAGAAGTTCTCTGCCTGTGCCTCTTCAGGCTCAACAGTTTAAAACTTGCCCCGCTCCCATGTTCATGGATTATATATGGATCTAACCACCTCCACCGGTTTAACACAGGTGACAATTTGCACTGGGGCTTTACAAAAGAAAAAATGTCTTCATCTTAGGTAACAAAAAGAAGGTCTTAACCCTGCCTGACAATAGTTTAAGACCTAAAAATAACAATGATCAAGGACTGCATTAAATCAGCATTGGAGAGGTTGTCTTCGAAAATACAGAGAAAAACTAAAATGCGTGCAGAGAATGGAGGTGAATATACAGGTCATTCCAACAGCAGATTGGGGACTCTAAGTTTACTAAGAATATATTTCAAAATAACCAGTCAATTTGATGGAACAAATAGTTTTCAAACATTAAGCTAGTTGTTTGAATGACCAAATCAGTGGATGAAAACAATTTATCTTCAGTTCTCAGACATAGACCTACTTATTATCCAGAAATGTTTTCCTTCTGTCTAATCTAAATTACTCTTCCATTGTTGTCACCCATTTTTAAAGCCTTTGCTAATAGAGAATGGCTATCTGGCTTGTTTTTGTCTTCCAATTCTATCTTCTTAGTTTCCCTTGTAGAGTCTAGTTTTCGTCCTTCAGTTACTCTTAAAAGCCAAGCCAAACCAAACCAAACAAACCAACAAAAACCAGATAAAAGTCACAATGCAGTTCTCATTGGCTTAGTAGATATTTGCCAAGCTAGTGAAAATTACACATTAATTTCCCCACATAGGATTTGGTGGGAATAAAGTACATGCCTTTGCTATACTTGTGGCTTATTAGATAAAATGGGATGTTACCCATTTGTGGTTATGTTTGTCCTGCTTCATCCCAGCTCTTCCTGTGTGTGGTTCCTGAGGAGGGAGCATCATGAATGCACATTAGGAACATTATTGTTGTCCATGAATGTGTGTGTGTGTGTGTGTGTGTGTGTGTGTGTGTGTGTGTAGGGGCAGGTTGGAGAAGAATGTCTCAGTGGTGATGTAGCAAGGCCAGACCCCCCAAAGTGGGATAAATGGGGTTCTCCAAGCTGAGTATCCTGGGAGCTGGCCAAGGCCATGGCTAGGTTGATGGGAAAGGAGACTGGGCTAGTGGCTTACGGGATGAGTGTGCCTGAGCCTCCCTCTGGGCACAGACTGCTGGGAGACAGACTTGAAGCTGGCCTGGTATGTTGGGGTTAAACCATTTATTTTTCTCCTCTTTTATTCCTCTTGGATTTTTTTATTCCCTCTCTAAAATTTAGACATCTGTACAACCCTGGGACGGGGAGGGAGGCATAGTGGCCAGTGTTCATGACCTTTGGGGGAACTTCCCTCTCATGCTCTCTGTGGTCTAAGGACTACTAGAGTTGGACTATGGTAAGAAGGCCTCCTGTTTAAATAGCTAAGGGGCCGCCCCTGCAGAGCTCAGAATTGTCTTAAATATGAAAATATCAAGTTCTGACACCACTAGGTAAATCATTGCTTAATTTTGAGTATTCATAAACTAAAAATAGAACCATTTCCTTGCATTAAAACCCTGGATTATGGTCTCGTTATCTGTAATAATTTCATAACAATGCAAGCTATGGTAGTTGTGTTTTCTGTCAGGCAGTGGTAAAGCAACATGAAAGTTTTTAGGATTTGTAGTTGGCTTGCTTAACACGTAGATAGGAAAGGGGTGAGAAAGGTGAATGTGGAATGTCCCCACATTTCCCACAATTTTATACATAAAAGAGAAGCAATTCTCTTCATGTGTAATTAGCAAAGATAAGCTTATTCTTAACTTATTTCTGAGTCGCTAAGTCATTTGGTTCGCCCTGTACATTGGCTGATGAGCGGTTATAATTAAGCTTTGGGCAGTTCTTTCCACATGAATATTAAAGTAATTCAGGTATTTGAAGGTGTGACATGGAATGACTTCCTCTCTCAGTGGTTCAGTTGGGTGCTGTGTCCTGGCCCCCGTTAGCTGGCCCAGGAGTGTCTGCCATATATACATTCAAGCTAAGTGACCGCTCCTCAGCTAAAATCCAGGAGCACACAGACACCAGAGTTAGCTTTCCATTAAGGGAATGCTTACAAGAAACTGGCCCAGGATAAAGCAAAGGCTAAGGGACAGAAAGAAAGCTTGAATTACATTATTGCAATATTCTGCAAAATCAGATTTCGGCTTCTGTCCTGCTTCTCTTTGGAGCTGAAAACGCCTCGAGTTTCTCCCTGAGAAGCATGAGCAATTGCGTAAGTACTATATTTTCTGACAATTTCCAGCACGAGTCCATCCAAGATTACGAGGCAAGGCTGCATGATAAGGTTATTATGTGTTTGGGTATTTTATACATGAGTGTAACCTTGTCACCTTGCTTTGCAAAACCAAAAATCCCCTGCATATGCCCAGGAGAGGAGAATTCAGCATTTGCCAGGCCCAGCAAAATGCCCTCCCTTATTCTCTTTCTCGGCCTCATTGCTTCTCCCACACGTGGGTTCAGTAAGTTGTAAGAGTCTGAAATCATGCTTGCCGAATAATGCTAGCCCACTCTGAAAATTTGGGAGAGAGCTGGACCCTCGTCATCGCCACGCACTGTGTGACCGAGACAGGGTAACCCATGGTTACTGAGCGCAGATCAGTTAAGGAGCAGGCAGCCTTCCCTCCTCACTGCTCTATAAAAGAGACCCGGGCAGGGGACCCTGCCAGCTTCCAGCTCTCAGCCGTAGAGGTGTGGAGCGGAGCACACCAGCTGCTGACGGAGGCAGGGCCAGCATGTCTCCTTCCTTCAAACTCCGGTGTCGCTTCATCCTGATCTTCCTGGTGGCTCTGAGAGGGGAGAGCCGATACCTGGAGGTGAGTGGTGCCCTGGCTGACCCCTCACACCTCCCCTGGTGAGTGTCCTGCCGTGGGGGCGTGGGGAGGGGGGAGGGCAGGCTGCCTAGGCGCTTGCCTTTGCCGGGTTAGCTCTTTCTTCCCCATCTTGGTGCCGCCCTTTCCCCAGACTGGCTTTCCCTCCTGCCTCTTCCTCCTTCCCCCTGGCCGCCTGCGGTCCCCTGGTCTGAGGGACAGTATCCCGTCACTTGATCCTCTTTGCTGTAAGGCAGAGAGGGTGCCCTGCTCCCGGCCCCCTTTCCCACCCCTTCAACTTTTCCCAACTGACCCATGTTCCTTGCCAGCTGCGGGAAGCCGGGGACCAGGACCCTTTCCTGCTCCTCAGCGCCCACCTGAAGCGGGAGCTGGCGGGGGAGCCGCTGTACCGCCGCGCTCTGCGTGAGTTGGGGCTGCCCGGCTGATGCCGGGCTGGGTTCGCAGGCAGCGGGCTGTGGGGAGGTGTGGGCTCTGCGCAAGGGCAGGAGGCTCCCGGGCACCACAGAGAAGGGGCTGTCCAGGGCATGATTCCCATCGCGAAGTCCCGGTGCGCCACGAGGAGCTCAGCAGCGGACAGGGTGTTGCGCCCTGGGGCACCGGAGCAGCGCGCAGCGAGGCTGGGAGTCCGGCTGGGAGTCGGGCGCGGGGAGCGCTGCAAACCTGGAAATCGGGGCGCCGGGAGGGGCTGCGGGGCTGCAGCCGAGACGCCTCGCCCCGTGCCCTGCCCGCCCTCAGGGTGCCTGGACATGCTGAGCCTGCGGGGCCAGTTCACCTTCACCGCCGACCGGCCGCAGCTGCACTGCGCTGCCTTCTTCATCAGCGAGCCCGAGGAGTTCATCACCATCTACTACGACCTGGTCTCCATTGACTGCCAGGGCGGGGACTTCCTGAAGGTGAGGTGTCCCCACCCAGCAGCCGGGCACCGCGCGGAGGGGAAATGGGCGGGCTGCTGCGCCCGTCGTGGGGCAGCCGAGTTTGGGGGAGCCGGTGACATTCTTAGTTAGACGCTCCGCTGGGACAGGAACCGCCTCTCAACCCCAAGACCTCGCCCCACACCAGGAAGGGCTGATGCCTCAGAGGCTGCCATGATTTAAAATCCCCCCTGTGTACTCTCGGGGCCGACGCTTCAAAGACTTGAACTCCCGTTGCTAAAGGCTGTGTTACAATCTCAGCCGATGTACAAACTAGCGCGAGCGCTCGGGTCCACCGAGAGGGCGGGTGCTGAGCGGAGGCCGGCCCCAGGAGTCTGAGACCTGCGCCTGCTTTGCTCCTGCTGGTCCGGAGATGTCCCAGGCTCCTAAAGGTTGTCTTCAAAGCCGCAGGACGCAGGCTGCTGGGAGGGATGCTGAGAGGGAATCTAGCCTGAGGCCGGTGGGAGGGGAGGACAAGCTCCATGCCTCTCCCAGGCATTGTCCATGAGCCAGACAGGTCAGCTGGGAATGGCTGATGGAGTTCTCCAGTCCAGTTCAGAAGAGCAGGACTAAAATCTGCGCACTGGGATTATTTTTTAAATGGAGCCTTGGTTCAAAACGCTTTAGAAGAGGACTGAAGTAATTTGCGGCTGGTGTTGCTAATGGGAACGAGACTGGACTCATTAAATTGGAGACCTGTGGTGTTTTTAAGAGTAAAGTCAATAGACTCTGACCTTTTGTCCAATTGCAAACTTTAACAAGTGAAGGGGGAAAAGTCCTAAGCTATACACCAGCCATTGTAGTTCTTGGTATTTTAATATCTGATAAAAGTAAAACAAACAAACAAAAACAAGGAGGAAAATGGGCATACATAACCGTTGGCAGGTAGGTCAAGTTGCAGCTTCAGTTTTTTTCTGCTGCTGTGTTTTTTAAAAAGATATTTTATTCATATTTCAATAATGAAAAGAAAGAATAACTGAAACCCAACTTGTGCTTCTGTAGTTTGATTTACGAAGGTGACTGACGTATAATAAAGTTTACTTATTTTGGAAACTTTAAGGTTTATAAAGAAAAAATGCAATAAATAATTAATAATATTACTAGCAAATAACCCTCCCAGTAGAGATATATACAGATGGAAAGCAAGTGGGCAGAGGAGTGTAGGCTGTCGGTTCCACACCTGTCACTTAGGGAGCTGATGGGAGCGATCACCTATGGTGTGTTTTGTTGGAAGGTATTTGATGGTTGGATTCTCAAAGGGGAGAAGTTCCCCAGTTCCCAGGACCACCCTCTCCCCACAACTGAGCGGTACATAGATTTCTGTGAGAGCGGTCTTGGCAGAAGGAGCATCCGATCCTCCCAGAACGTGGCCATGATCTTCTTCCGCGTCCATGAACCAGGAAATGGGTTCACATTAACCATCAGGACGGTTCCCAACCTCTTTCGTAAGTGGGCTCTGTCTTCTCAGGTGGAAGGCAGTGGCGGGGGGGTGGGGTGGTGTGGGGGGTGGTGTAGATCAAATCTGGTTTTCAAAGAGAGTATCATTGCACAGACTTAAGACATTTGAAGTGAAAAATGATTTAAATGGAAATCCTTCTGTAATCAGAAATGGCCAAAAGGAATATTTTCTATTTATTATTATGAAAATCAAATCACAGTTTTTAATTTATTTCCCAGTCTAGATAGGATACTACTTTAGGGTGAGTAGAATTCTATCTTTTTGTTCAGTATTTTATTCTAATCTCCTAAAGTACAATGCATTCAGTGACAAACTTTAATCCCTCTAACTCATTCCACTCATCTGGGATAAGCTTGAGGGATCAGATATGAAGTTGCAGTTTTAGATATTTATGCAAAGGCGGAAGACTTCATATCTGGGATGTGTTAGACAGATTTCATGCCTGGGCAGAAGGTTGGACCAGCACCTCAAAGTTGCCTTCTGATTCAGCGTTCCCCACTGTAATTTAGTTCATTGCTGATGGATATGCCCATAGATGCTAAAAAGCTGAACAGCCCAGGCCTAAAATACATTATCTTAATCAAAATGAGTTCATTCATCTGCTTATTTTTCTCCCATTAAAACAAAACAAAAATTAATTGGATGAAAGAAGGTGAAGGGATTAGTCAAATAACATATACATAACCCACAGACACAGACAACAGTATGGTGATGGCCAAAGGGAAGGGGGGAGGGAGCTGGGTGGAAGTGGGTAAAGAGGGGGAAAATGGGGACATTTTCAATAGCATCAACAATAAAAATAAAGTAAAAAATTAATTCAGGAAAAGAGAAATTATTATTCATTTTTGGTTGCATGCAATAGTATTAGTATTACCACTTCATATGGTCAAAGAATGGACCGAATCTGCCAAAGAATAATGTACTGACTGATCTTTCAATTTTTGTGTTTTGTTTTTTTAAATTTTGAAAGAAGCCCCCAAAGAGGCTGTTTCTGAGGACCGGAGCAGAATAATCCTAGAGGGAAAAAAATGAACTATTTCTCATCTATTTTGTTTGGTTATAAATCAGAAGCCTTCCAGAACTGTCATGGAATTTCAGTTCTTTTTGAAATTAAATGGAATTAAAAAATATGGAAGGAGGCAAGAGGTAGTTCTGACCTGTTCTGATAAGTCAGAAACTTTTGGGGGGGGGGGAAGGTATAAACTAATGCTTCTAGTTTCATAGCTAGAAGAATAAATTTATAAGTCTAGACTTGAGATACAAAACAAAAAATTTCAGAAAATTCTTGGGAGTAAATCAAACATTAAAATTTATCTTTTAGTCAATTTAACATTTAACACTCAGCAAATATTTATTCAGATGTAGCCTGCTTTCTTTTTTTTTTTTTTTTTAAATATTTTTTACAGAGAGGAAGGGAGAGGGATAGAGAGTTAGAAACATCGATGAGAGAGAAACGTCTATCAGCTGCCTCCTGCACACCCCCCGCTGAGGATGTGCCTGCAACCAAGGTACATGCCCTTGACCGGAATCGAACCCGGGACCCCTCAGTCCGCAGGCTGACGCTCTATCCACTGAACCAAACCGGTTAGGGCAGCCTGCTTTCTTTCTATTTTTTCTCAGCCTATTTCATGACTGTTTTATTGTTTATTTATTTTATTATTTAAAAAATAACATTGGCCCCAAATTCAATGAGTGAAGGCTCCAGACAGGTAGGGTTTGAGTTCCGGCCTCAGCTTGAAAGTCTTGATTCTTCCAGACTCCCAGCTTGAACCTGGACCCCAGTTAACTGAAGTGTACCAGCCGGTATTGTTTGGTTGGTTATGAATTTAGGTTTTCTGATTATAAACAAGATAACCCCCTGAGATTAATATTAGAAGCCCCTGGCAGCCCAAAGGCTTCATCCATACATCCCTGGTGGCTTTCATTCCCCAAACCCTTCCCACCTCCAAATTGCCTTTGTGAAATGTACTCTCTTCCAAGCCACAAGGCCTAGACCAGTGGTTCTCAACCTTCTGGCCCTTTCAATACAGTTCCTCATGTTGTGACCCAACCATAAAATTATTTTCGTTGCTACTTCATAACTGTAATGTTGCTACTGTTATGAATCGTAATGCAAATATCTGATATGCAGGATAGTCTTAGGCGACCCCTGTGAAAGGGTCGTTCGACCGCCAAAGGGGTCGCGACCCACAGGTTGAGGACCGCTTCCCTAGACCATGAATAGGAGCCTAAAATAAGGATGAGGCAAATGTCTATAAAAACCAGCATACCAAGTAGTGAAAATGTGATTTTTTTTCCTGCAAAGCCTGCAACGTCATTTCCCAGACCCCAAATGGAGGGTTCACCCTGGTGGTTCCACATCAGTATCGAAACTGCAGCTTCTCCATAATTTATCCTGTGATGATCAAAATATCTGATCTCACCCTGGGACACTTAAATGGCCTGCAGTTAAAGGTGAGTTGCTACTTGCTTTCAAATTATTTACTAAAGCCAGAGCTTTGTCAGAGCAAAAGTACTCATACAGGGTAAACACGGACATTAGCAATTGGAGTAGTCTGCCCTGTTTGACTGTAAAGTCTCACAGGTGTGTGCCCCCCCTGCTTTAACTAAACCCTTTCCTATTCCTGTTCAGCTGAAAGTTGCACACTCAGGTGTCCCCTGTGCTACTTGAATACTTTTCTTGTGATGCAAGAAATGTTTTCAATGGGTAAATGTGTGGCATATAATTACAATTGAACTCTCTTGTACTTGCCTCTTTTAAAAAAATTATCTCCTAGCAGAACCTAGTATGAGTCATCTACACAGCTGTTTTTCTGACTATTGGAATTTTCTTTTGACATGAAGGAAGTATCTCATTGACTGTGTTATGAAGAAATGCTAAGTGTAGCATAAAATGCGAAATTGGATTTTTATATTGCAAAATACAGTAAAGTTTTGAAGAGTTTTCTGGCATTACATTTAATTCAATACATTTTGTAACAGATATTAGTTGAGATTCTCCATCAACTTGTTTTCCCATGAACTTCTGTATGGATCTTAAGATAAATGCTGAGCTTGACCACATTTATTTGCGCTGGTAGCGTCTTCCCTCTGAGTCATCCTCATTTCCTTTTACTTTCTCTTGTGCTGAGGTTAACATAGCTCGTGTATTTGCTGGCATCAAGGACAGTCATAGTTCCTAATCAGACAGATTTCAGGGAAAGCCAAATAGGACTAGGACTGATAAAAGGAACATATCTAATTTCCTTTAAGCCCTAAATTTTTGGGCCAATGCTTTTTTGTTTGTTTTTTTGGAGGGCGACTTTAGTGGGAGAACATTTCTTTGATAAAGACCAGAACAAGTGGGTGTCTATGTATGACATAGCCTTATTGCCTTGAGATTGTTCGTATGTCATTCCTGATGTACAGTATAGAAGACGGCAAGAGTGATACCAGACTGGGAGATCTGCACTTCAGTTATTCTTGGCTATGAGGAGTAATCTTGGTGTTTCCTATTTTTTTTTTAAATTAAAGTCTGCATTCTTCTAGGCATCTTTTTCTTTTCCAAATATTTTTTTGAGTTCTCACTATGTTCAAGGCACTATTCTAGATGCTGTAAATTAACAACAAACAAAATAGATGCTGCTCACATGAAACCTGCATTTTAGTGGCATGTGACAGGCAAAACTGCATATATTTCAGCTAGTGGTGAGTGCCTGATGGAAAATGAAATGAAGTGCTGTGATGGATAGTGACTAGGACAAGGGAGCAGAAGGAGGGGTGGAGAGCTCCTTGAGATACTAAGGTGGTCAGGAAAGAAGGAGAAGGAGACAAAGTGAGACTTTAGTGATAGTGATGAGGGAGCCAGCAGCCACAGGAGGAGCCAGGAACAGAGAGAACAGTAGTGTAGAGGCCCAGAGGCAGGAATGAGCTTATTGGATTCCAGAAATGGAAAGGAGGAAAGATAGAGGGGGAGTGATATGAGACATGTCAGGGAGATGGGCAGGGCCAGGGTGTGCAGAGCCCCACAGGTCATATTTGAATTTATTCTAAATCCTTATCAGTAGAAATGATAAACATTGTCCCAATAGCAGAAAAAGTCCTTTACAAAGAAAAGGAAAAGAGGTGAGTTGAAAGAAAGCCCTATTTATGAAAACTCTCTGATTGCATGCACTAATTCAAATATTCTAGTATGTATGTCTGAATGATTTCATTTTTTCACACATCTTATGTGGAGTTTACAGATTCCCATTTCATCATTGTAGTCCTTGAACTTATTTTCAAAATGCACACACATTTTAAGAAATGATTACTCAACTGATTTAGAAAAGCAATTCTTATCATTTTTTTAAATTGTAAATGCCTTTTAATTTCAGAGTCCTGAATGTTGAATGAAATGGCACTATTAGGATGTCTAGGGCTGATTGAGTGAATTCACCAACTTGCCATTGGACAAATGATTTGACTCCCATAGTTGGTTTAAATATCTCTTTCCCTGTTGCTATTCTCTCAGAAACCTGCAGCAGGCTGTGGGGGGAAAGGAGACTTTGTGGAGCTGCTGGGAGGAAGTGGATTGGACCCTTCCAAGATGATGCCTTTAGCGGATCTCTGCTATCCCTTTCAAGGCCCTGGTGAGAAGTTTCTTTGATCATTATTTATGTGCCCATCAAGATTATTTCCTTAAGTGAAACACCTAACATTTCTTATACATGGGAAGTCAAGTCCCACCAAAAATCTTCAATTTTGCCCATTAAGTGCAAGTGAGGATTTTACACTTAAGACTATGTACACTATGAAGAATGCATTACCAAAGTATCTGACACTGGGAGAGAAATGTATGAAGTAACAAGGATGCGTGTTTAAGGCTGGCCCTAAGTAAAACTGGGAAGGAATTGGAGATTATCTTTAAAGAGACAAAAGTAAAACAGGAGGGAAACAGCAACAGTCTTTAACCTCATGGCAAATTCTTATCAGAGCCCCTTCCCTTTCTTGTAACCACAGATCGTTAACCAGCTAGATGATGAAGCTGTAAATCAGACATCCTTTGATCAGCTGTTGCCTGTTTTAATTAAAACCAGGTCTGCACCCCAGTATTTTTTCTCTCTGAGCTAATACTGGGACCTTAATAAACAAAACATCTCTGAAATAGAATTAATATGCATCGGTAATCACTAAGGCCCAACATGTGGTGTCCACCGTCCCCCATTCACTCCTGTATAAAAGAGCTTCGGATGAGATTTAAGGCAGGACTGGGTCCAGGGCAAGCTTGATAATCAAGGTAAAGGCAAGAGGTTTCTAAGAACTCACTTTGCTGAAAACACAGGGGTTATTTAATGCTAATTTACACTTGAGCTCTGGTTTAAACTGTCAGTGCAAGTCGCTTCTCTTCCCCTTTGCATGTGTTCTCTGAGGCAATGCATCCTTCCATGCCAATGGGAGATGCGTGTGAGGATTAGATTAAAGACGATCGAACACCCATACCTTATATAATTTAGATCATTGAGGCCAGAGTAATTTTGGTGCTTGAATTATATGATTTGAATTAGGTAAAATGGTAAGACTAATGCCAAAAAAACACTTTTGTCTAAATTATCCAGATGATTGAAACTAGTCTTAAGATAATTTGAAGGCTTGAATTCTGTGACTCATTGTTTCATTTTAACTTCACTTTTTTCTTTCATTCACCATGTTTCCATGAGCCCCTCCTAAGTTGTTCAGACAATGAAGAACTATTAGGGACCCTGCTCTTTCAATTGGACTTTCCTAGTAATTATGTCAAATAAATAATATGCACATGAACTAAAGGAAATGGGGCATGTTATGTAGATTAAAGTTCAGAGCAAGATCAGAAAAAGAATGACCTTCCAAGTCATTTAAGGAAAATTAAATTTGAACCTCCTTGTAGAAGCATAATGCAGACTCCCTGGTTCTTATATTAAGATAATGTCTCCAAATTGACTTTTACCTCAATACGTAACTCTGTCTGGCAGTTTTATTTCATTTAAAATCAGGCACCTGTTTGTCAAGTACCAGTTACACAATAATGCTAGTGTTTCTCAGAGACAAAGTGGGTGGAGGGAGATTAAGTAGATTAAACAACAGAAAGGATTATTATGGGGCAGATAAATCCTTCTCAGGAGCCAGCCTGAGGCTGGAAGAGTAAAATAGAAGTAATTTTTAATAAAAATGATGAGTTTCAATATATAACCACTCAGGCACATCTGTACCAGAAGAGATATAAACATTGTCAGATGCTTATACAGATAATGGATAAGATTGGATTTAAGAGAAGTAAGGATATCAATAGTCATTCCTTCTATGAAGCACAGGAAAAAAATGAGAGAGAAATGGAAAAATGAGAAAAAAGGTAGGTGGACAATGGGACAAATGAGAGAGAAATGGAAAAAATGAGAAAAATGTAGGTGGACAATGGGAAAAAATGAATATATTTAGTGTGGTCTATCTAAATCATGCAAAATATTTTTGTTTATATGTAAAACAACTATTATCTAGGCTCAGAAAATAATAAACAGGTGATCTTTTTGGTCAACATCAATGTTTAGCATTACAATTTAGCCTCCAACCTGCCCATTAAATATCACTTGCACCCCCAGATGTTATGACAACCAAAAATTACCCCTGCTAATTTCCAGCCTGTCCCTGGAAGGCAGTACTGTCTCCGCTGAGAACACTGAACTGGAGTGAAGGTTAGTGTGGAGAGGCCCCTGCCTTTACCACCAGAGCCGTGCAGGTGGAATGTGAAAAGTGCAAGGAGACATCCTCTTGCCTCTCTGCAGCCAGATTTATTTGGCTAACGGTGTTCTTGCACATGAAGAGAAAAGCTGAGATCAGTGTCACAATTCTGAAGTTAATTCTGTATTCTAACGAACATGAAAACAAAAACGTTTCCCCTCCTGGCATGGTTTGAGCCCATGAGAAGAAGATACAACCTCTCGCTTTCTTTGAGTTTAAATGATCTTATTGACAGAAGTGGTTTTGCTGTGTGGTTTCTAACTTGCTGGGAAACTTTTACTTTTTCCATGAATTACAGCCCAAATGAAAATTGGCTGCGACAACACGGTGGTGCGCATGGTCTCCAGCGGAAAACACATAAACCGTGTGACTTTTGAGTACCGCCAGCTGGAACCATACGAACTGGAAAACCCAAATGGAAACAGTATCCGGGAATTCTGTTTGTCTGGTCTTTGAATAACCAATCCAGTGATTTACATGCTGCTAGCAAAGTGAGTGCTTAATAGGTATTATATATGATTTCGATGACCACTAGTTTAAAGCCTTTCCTACCAGCCAGTATTCACAGCCTTGAACACCTCCCTCTCTCTCTCTCTCTCTGTCTCTCTGTCTCTCTGTCTCTCTCTCTCTCACACACACACACACACACACACACACACACACGCGCGCGCGTTTTTGTACCTTGCTTCTTTTTCATTTGTAATATATAAATGACCACATGGCCCCCACCTTGGTAGTAAAACAGTTTTCTGTAATTCTTTGGTATGCTACAAACCTGAACTGGTAAGACAAGTGCAAAGCAATGTGCAATTTTAAAAAATGTGTCTCAAGGAAAAATACTATAAAGAGATAAAAATGGTGGCATTCATATCAGTTCTATAACAGAAAACAATGGAATATCTGTGTACACCAAGGTAGTTGCTTCTGTTTTTATTTTCTGCTTATTATTCTGTTTACAATAGGTAATAGTTGTAGCTACTACGTATTGATTTGCATCAACTTGTTTTTAACAAACCTTTGTAGCAAGGAAAACCTTTCCTATCCATAACACAAAAGTGAATAAATACACTTGGGGTGTTGCCACCTTGATGCTGCGCTTTGTTTTCTGAGTCGTCTCCTCCTTTATTATCATCAGAAAATAACATTCTCATGTGGTACACAGCCAGATGCTGCACAAAATCATTTTAGACTTTTAGAACTAGTGGAGCCCTGGCCATTGGGGTAGAATTATTTAGAGTAGAAGGTGTGTTACAGTGTTTGCACAGATAACAGTAACTGATAGTCCTAACAGGGAAGCAGGGTGTAGAGACCCCTTTTCCACTGTCCCCCAAGAAAACTGAGCATACATGTCTTTGTCACAGGGGAGTACTTTTCATCAAGGACAACAGGGCCGTACAGCTCTCAGAGACACAGCTTGACAAAATCTGAGTACTTCTTTGGTACTGAAAGCAGTTCACTGTTGACTGAGCCTTGTCCATATTTGTCTTGAGACTAGGTATGTGGCCTATAAAAAACACTTAAGGCCAAAAATAAGGTCCTGAGCAACAAAGGAAATACTCCTAAGTGATATCCTCTTTCCTTTGAATTAATGGATGCAATCTGCAAAGTGTACCATAAATAATGGCCTTATTATGATTCCTGAACATATTTAATATAAAGTTCATTTTATAATGGAAAGTACTGGAATCCCATATACTGAAATCTGAAAAACAGACAGAAAGAAAAACATTGATTGCAATTGCTTTAAAAAAAAAAAAAAGCAAACCCAGGATTTAGCACAAATTTTGGCTCAATAGATATTTTGTAATGAGTGAAAACTTTTGCAAATGAATGAATAAATACCTGCATGGGTGGTTGAATGGATGGGTGGATGGATGGATGAATAAAGCTGGGATAAAGGTTGGGATGAATGAGTAAGTGCATGGATGGATGGATGGATGGATAAATGCTGGGGCAAAGCCTGGGTGATAGAATAAATGCTTGAATGGATGGATATACAACTGCTGATTAGTTATATAAGATGTTGGATTCCTTATTTCATAGAAAACAAATTCATGAAGTTGAACCCGTTTATCTTTTTCACAGTCCTGCTAGCAACCTAAGAATCCATGCAGTCACTTATGTCACTGTTAAAAGTTTCTGACTTTTAACCCTCATGATCCCTTTATGCTGCATAGAGAAAATGTTCTGAGGTAAGGAGGCAAGTATTTGACTGTGTAAGTTAGGACAATCTGCTCTTATTCCTAAGGGACATTTTGAAAGCTACTAGCTTCTCTGTACTGAAATGGTGGGACTGTGGTCCCTAAGCTTCCCTCTAACTTTGACATTCTGTGGTCGTTCATATGTCACATATTTTATTTCAAAGCTTGTTATTGCCTAATAGTGTGCATTCTTTGAGAAGGTGGCCACTCCAGGGAGCTGTCCATGACTCATTCTTGGGAGATCCATGACGTGTCTTCATTCCAAAGGATGAGGCAACTTTATGGAAAGAAAATGGTAGATGAGATTTCTGGGGGACTTAAATTAAAGGATGTGTCTTCAATGCCACCTCCATTAATCAGGTGAAATATATGAAATTTGGGCCAAATTTGACTTTCTAAGAAAGGCAGTATCCATCGTGGTTGAGGTTATCGACTCTGACGGCAGATCTTTTTGAACCCCAACTCTGACTCTTACTTGAGCAAGTCACTTATAAGTGACTGTTGCTCAGTTTTTAGTCTATAAATTGAGGTAATAAAGACATATCCTTCAAATAAAGATTTTTGTTAAGATTAATGGATAAATATATCTAAAGCCCAAGAACCATGTCTTGCACATATGAGCAATTATTTTTATTATTTCTTCTAAGCAAACATGCTATCCCAGGTTCTCCATACTCTTAGTGGGGCATTTGCTTTGTGCTCTGAAGTGTTTGTAGTGATTCAGTTGTTCCTTTTCATCCCAGAACAATTTGTGAGGAAGGTAGGGTTGGTCAGGGTTGTTGTCTGTGATGGAGAAGCAAAGTAAGATTCCTGGGAACATTTGAGGATGGGTCTTGTCAGGCCCTATCAGATCTCCAGAGCCTCTTTCACAGCTGACCCCTACCTGTAGGCTCTGCACTACTCCAGGGTCAGTCCTGACCTTGGACAGGAGACATTGAAACAGCTCTTGTCCAACATGCTGGTCATCAAGGAGTCACCTCACAAATAGACTGTCTTGACTCTCTACGCTGTGCCTAGGCTTCCTCTCTGTAGTCTTCCTATCTCTTGATTATTTCACTCTTGCTTTTGCCTGATCCTACTCTTATTGCCACTCCTAACACCACATCTTCCTAAATACTATTTGGTGACTTGGGCTCTACTACTGATCACTAAATTCCCAAATTCCTCCTACCTCCATGCCTAAAATTCTAAGCATTTTTGCTCATATGTTTTAGGTCACTCTGTTCCTTACTCTGGATACTTTCCTACCTCCTGTAAAACTGCTTCTTCCACTGTTTTCTGGCCTGTTTTCTGTGGAATATGTTGGTCTTCCTATGACATTGGATTTTCTTCCAGTATCTAAAGCAGCATGTCTTCTTGTTCTCCAAACTTTTCCTGGTCCTGTTGTTTCATTTGAGAGGATAGGGCAGAAATGCTAGGTGTTCACCAAAAGTCATTTCTTTTACACTCTGAGAATGCAGTTAGACTACATTTCACCCTCCCTTACAGTTAGGTTAGGCCATGTGACTGAATTTTAATTGAAGGAGTGTGGGTAGAAAAGATGTCCAACCCTCATGTAATCCTCCATACTTTCTCTTTCTTCTCCTATCTACTGGCAAGATATTGAAGTTCTAACAGAGGACTTAAAGGCTATAAAAGAAGTCAGAGTCATAGGATACAAGGAGCCTGGATCCCTGAATGATCACATGGAAGGCTGCTATTGACCAGGAATTGGACTTTGTGTGAATGAGAAGTAAACTTTTATTTTGTTAAGTTACTGAGATGATGATGATGTTATAGCATTGAGTATTACCGTATTTCATACAGTGGGCCTGTCTAAATTATATTCTCAGCTATACTCTAATTTCCCTGACTGGTTTTGCTGCAACTATATAGGCAGGCCTGATCTGATTGTCTTTCATAGAAAAATAACTCAAATGCATATCTTTGATCTCATAAACATCAGGTTTTATCTGATATCATTGTATCCAACTTTTCCATATTCCTTAAAGAATCCTCTAAGAATAGTGATTCTTAGATTATATCCCTTTGAAAATCTGACGGAAACTATAGATCATCTCCCAGAAAAAAAAAGCCCACATATACAAGGACACCCCAAATTTCTGAGAATTCTCAGATCCCTGAGGCCCACCCCAAGGTTTCAGTATCAGAATCTCTGCTCTAGGAGTAAATAATAAATAAAACTAAGTTTAAGACCAGTCTTCTTAAACTTGGCTGTCCTCCCTTCAGTGTTGTTAAAAAAACATTCATTGGTTAATGTAGCTGTGAAATGAGTTCATAACAGCAACTTAATGTTTCTGCTTTTATAGTTTACTATTTAATTTTGCCTTTTGCTGCATGGGTTTTTCTGACCTGCTATGTAGTTTTTGCTCAGGGAGGAAATACATTTGAGACAGGACAAATTTTTGTGGCAAAGATCCTTTCAGGTCTCTCCTACCTTCAAATTTCCCTTTCCTGCTATTTAATAGGGAGGCAACATTCCCAGAGTTTGCCTGCAAAACAGAATCTTTGTGAAATGAAAATAAAGATTTGGTGGACAGGATTTACTTGGAGGCAGTTTGTTTATGTGCTTAACAACACCTGATAGAGAGTTGTGGTTAGGAGCTCCTAACATAGGGTAATCACGTGAAATTATATCTGAATACTCTTATTTGTGCAGTGGAGTATTTCAGAAGAGAGAAAATGCTTTATATGTTCAAATAAGCAGATTGAATGGCCTCAGTTCTAATGAAACATTTATAATAATTACCATCCATTTTTCTCTTTGCATTTGAAAGTTTGTTTTTTCTTGTGTTAAGACATACTGTACAAAGAGAGAAGTAGAGAGGCGAGAAAGGAAACATGGGTAAAAGAAAGAAGGCTTGATTAGATGATTTGAAAACATTATGAAAATCAAGGTCTCCAAATTGGATTCTGGGCTTTGCTCTTAGTAACAATAATGTACTTCTCCCTGTGCAGCTGAACAATTGAAAATGAGATATGTTTGTACTTTAAGAAAACTGAATGTCAGTACTAGGACATACAGCTGGATGAGTTAGACAGAACCATGATCGCTGTGACTAGATGGGTTACCAGATGTTGGGGTTTCCTAGAAAGAAGAATATCTCTTGCCTAGCCAGTTTGGCTTAGTGCAGTGGTTCTCAACCTTGGCTGCACATTAGAATCACCTGGGAATCTTTTTAAAATCCTGATTTCCGGGCCTCATCCTCCGGAAATTCTGTTTCTTTGTTATGGGGTGGGGCCACCCACCCCATAACAAAGAAACAGAATTTCCGGAGGATGAGGCCCAGAAATCAGGATTTTAAAAAGACTCCCAGGTGATTCTAATGTGCAGCCAAGGTTGAGAACCACCGTCTTATAAGAACTCTTGTGATTATATTGGTCCCACCTGGATAATCCAGGATACTCTCCCCATCTGAAGATCCTCAACTTAACTACACCTGCAAAGCCTCTTTTGCCACATCCTATGTAATCCTATATAATAAAAGGCTAATATGCAAATTGTCCCCTCAACTGGGAGTTCGACCAGGGGGCAGGGCCAGTAGGCCAACCACCCATGGCCCCTCCCCCTGGCCAGCCAGGCCTAATTGGCCCCAAGTGGGGCGGGTGGGCCAGACCCCACCCATGCACGAATTCGTGCACAGGGCCTCTAGTAAGATAATATATTCCAAGTTCTGAGGATTACAATATGGATAATTTTGGAAGGAGTCATTAGTCTACAACAGACATATACATGCTGGCATGCCCCATGGATCACTGATGTTTCTATCTCTCTCTCTCCCTCTCCCTTCCTCTCTGCAATCAATAAAAAAAAAAAAAAATCTCCCCACCTCCAAGTTTCTAAAGTGTAAAAATGTGTTCTGTGCTATTAATAGCTCAAGCCAGCCAAATGT